CGAAACTATGGTCACGACTGAGCTAAGCTTGACCTGCAGCTGCAGGACATTGCACACACTTCATCTGCAGCATTTTTAGTTCGGGATCTAGTCAGCAACACGGAAGAAAGCTAGATGAAGGGTAATCGGACATCGGGATTTCCTCGATATCAGCTTTATTCTTCGTTCGAAGCTTAGAGATTTAACCCAACGCCGTTTTCAACCAGTAGACTAGTGAAAGCGAATACTAGGCGTTGAGCCTCCGTTACTCGGGGCGCGAGTTCGCAGCGTGGCGAGCTCCATAGCGAGTAGTTTTTATTTTCGATTTTGTAGCAGCCTTCCAGGCTCAATATTTTGTCATGCCCGAGCAGGGAAGATTACGTTCACTCGAAGTGAAGTGTTCGTACCGTGGCCCCTCCCAGATGCAAAATCCAGTCGACCAAGATCCATCGTGGTAGGATAGAAGCCACTTACCTTCTCACTCCTACCCAATCAGTCATTTCCGGCTATGAAGAAGTGCAACGGAGGTCGCCCTATTCATCGCCTTTCTATGCGCGGCAACGTCGGCTTCAGGCAAACTGTGACATCGGAACAGCCTCGAATTTCAGACGTTGCCACGAAAGACGCCCGTCGTGGAGGCGCCGCTGAAGAACTGCCAACCACTATGAGAAATACGTGAGCTGGACCATCTATCACACGAACGGCGTACGACGTGATCGTTACGTTGTTGCATGGGGCGGGCCTCTGATCCAGCTCGTAATGAGGAGAGCATCACTATACCCCTGCAAGCCGCTGATCATGATTATGAGCGAATGATTGGGGTTTTCTGATAACGCGCCAAGAACAGAGCAGCAACTACTGTCAGACATTGCAGATACCATCTGGTCATATGGTACTTATTGCCGGCATTTAGCACTTTATTTGAAACCAAAGGATGTGAAACAAAAGGCTGAGATGAGGTCAGATCTTGGGAGATTTGTGTTTATTGGAAGCAGCGACTAGAAGCACAAGTAGGACATCTGGCCTTGATGCAATCACATCAGGAGTTTTATATCATGGTATCCGACGATAACGCCGCGCGTGGAAATGATGTTATGTTACATTCGTATCACAGGAATCACTAACTATGGCTGCACTATCGTTAGATACTGGCTACAATTTTTCAATCCGAATTTTCAGGTCATGAGCTCACCTGTTCAGATCCCACTTTTCCGGCTATGAGGAGAATATAAGTAAATATCGTTTGGTGAATATATTACAACTGATCATCTGTCGAAGAGGTGGAGTATAGCTGATATGCCCCTTTGGTCACGCCAAACATCGTTATAGGCTTAGCCATCAACACACCGATGGCGAGACGCTCACATAACGCAACGCAGACCTCGATAACGAACGTGGATAATTTTCTCAAAGAGCAGCAAAGCCAATAATGCCAAAGAACACTCTCGCCATGGATGACGCCAAAACGCTCGTCAGGCAGGCCGTGCGCGCATTCTACAGCTCCGAACAAACCGTCGTAATTGATGTCTTATTGCATCACGAAATGTATGTCCCCGAGACGCAGAGATCACGATAAGCAGACTCATCACGCCTTGAATCTAGTCTATCAATGACCCAACTACGCTCTTTATCCATCACACCTGACCACGTGTCACTGAGAAAGGCCTGCGCTGAGCTGGAGCGGGCAAGACTCATTTGTACGTGAGTGTGTTTACATATCAGTCCCTCGCGCCTCATTATCGCGTCTATCTAGTTCGTTCACTGGCGAGCCTGCGTTATTCTGGCCCGCATTGACAGTTTCTCAGGTGGCAGCTCAACGAAGATGAGTTATACGTCTATCTCGACTACCACCAAGCCCTTTACGCCATTCAATACATTATCCACGAACTAAGACGCCGAATTCTCGGTACAGACAAGCGGGAATCATCAATAGAGATCGTGAGATACTACACTTGTCCCAAATGCCTTAGCAGTTGGCCGTTGATCGATGTCATCGACAACGCAGACCGTGATGGTGGCTTCTTGTGCAAGCGATGCGTGACACCGAGTCTTTTGCGCGAAGAGCCCCTCACAACCGACCTGCTACCACGCTTCAACCAACAGTTCGCGCCTTTCATACAGATACTAGAGCGTCTTGACAGCAGCAAGATTCCGCGGGTTGTGTTTGAGGATCTCTATGCACAAAATTACGGTGAGGGTGACGGTGCTCTCAAAAGATAGTGCTCCTGACTTTTGGTGGCTTCCTTGTGATTTTATGTTCTAACCCCTTCTCCTTTCTATCTTGTTGGACGCGGTATAATGGACTGTGAATCAGTCCTAGGAGATAGCCTAGATAGCCTTGTGCTCACGATGGACAGACCGACGTACAGGATGTGAGCCCCTAACCTGAGACGGACCATGAATGAAGCGGCGACATTGAATTTCTATCCAAGAAGATTAGCCTTGCTATTACACTATTGTTCAGGAGGTTTTGATTGTTCATTTTTCGGTTACCGCAATAAGCCTGTAAAGTCCTCTAAGATTGTACTTGTTCGTAAAAATACAAACGGCCATACCATCGCGATATTCACGTCCTCCAACCACATCGGCAGTAGCTTGCATCAATCTCAAAAACGATCTCCGCTTTCGCTCGTGTCGCCTATCTCTCCGCTGTAGGTTCTTGAGGCCCTGTTTCTTTTGGAGACCCGCCCTGATCTACTTTCTCGCTTCTTGCCTCGATCTTGTCTGTTGTCTTTTCGGAGTCCAAGCAACACTTTCAAGTTGACACTGAAAGTGTCCTCAGGAGTTGGCAAAGTGATACTCATGCTGACACAGCGACCGACGCTAATATCACCAACATCGCACTCTAAAGTCCCCTGAAGCTTATCATGGAACGTCGCACCTTTGTATTCCGCCTTTGGTGGTGTGCTTTCCTTGTCGCCATCGTCGCATATAGATGTGCTTCCTCATTTGACAGGTCGTCTCTAGGTTTCTCTCTCAGTTGTGTATGTAAAGGCTGACTGGGCTCGCCCTCGTCGCCTCTCTGACACAGAGGCCTCTGGTGGCCCAGGGGAGGGTCAGAGAATGATTCTTGTGAGTCTGACTGCTGAATGTCGGTCGAACTGTCGAAAGAACTCGAGATTTCGCAAGCCTTTACTAGTCCCTGTAGAGGCCAATCTTCGCCCATTTGTCTTCGGGCACTCGACACGGACTCTTGTGAATCTTGAGAAGATACTTGCCGGGCTGCTTCGGCCATCGAAAAGAACTGATGCAAATAATATGACAGACTGGTACGCGCTGACTGTGTTGTGCGGACGAGGTCAAGCATGGGAACGCTGCCTGACTGTGCCCCTATTTATATACCATACGCTTTCGGATCAAGTTACCAGGTCCATCTGACAAATACAACCCCTGAGTCCCCTACGTGCACATCAATGCTGTGAAAAGCGTGCCGAAATTTCCAGGGAACATTACTTACATAGTCTACCGTCTCATCGTCTCGCTCTAATTATTGAGTTGTTCGCCCTGCATGTGTACCCGACAGACCATCACCGTGATTGGTCGCCGCCCTGTGTAATCGGCGTTCTGCACCGTCCGAGGGCTCAAGACATGGTGAAGGTCCTTCGCTGTATATTTTAAATATAGCTTCGTATCTGTAAACCAGACGTTGTCACCATATACTCTCATCTTCATTGCTGCTGATTTTGAGAACGCTTTCTTGTGTAGCCCTGACTCATTACTTCTCGACGGATAGTGCGTGAAGATGACTGTTGTGTCTATGGCAGGTGAGCGGAACCAGTACTGCGAAAGCCATATGGGTTATCGTTCTTCCCATTTGTGTGATGCCACCAATCTACCTTCTTATGTTTGGAGCCTGATACTATTAATCTTGCTAATAGATATTGCCTCACGCATGATGGAGTGGTCCCCCGCTCCTTACAATGGAAATGCTGGCTTCAGGTACCTACGAAGGTGCGATTCCGCTTGCAATTTTGTTGCCAAAAGGCCGCCGCCAAATTATGACAGCCATAGCTCCATATATCCTCTACGGGTTCCAATTTCGCAACTACAGCAAGTCAAAGTGTGAGATCCCCTTGAGAGGCTCAGAATGCGATGGCGGTAGGTAGATGATACATCATCATACGTCAGGTTGGTCATGGATAGGACAAGGTTTCAAGCGCTCAACGAAAAGTTGGGCTCAATTCGCAATCGGCGCTCTTCGGAATGAACCTAAGGGAAAGAAGCTATTAATGGAGTTCGGAGTAGCTCAAGCACACCTGGTCGGCGGGCACAACGACACGTCTTTCATATTTCACAGTCAATCAGACCCTGCAATTCCTGCCGTTTGCAAGATGGTCAACTGCTAAGCTGCCTTCCGTCGTCAACATAATAGGACTAAGACATGGTCGTTCTGTCGGTACATCCCAGGCCCAACCGACGGTCACATGTCGTATCTCACTTATGCGATGCGATCAAGAGCCTGGGTATTACCTGTCGTGGCCGAATCCTCGAGCTTGCGTGATGCTTTGCGTCGATGAAGTTCATCGTTGATGTGGTCAAAAGGGTTGGTCTTCTGCAACGGAGAACCTAATTATTGCTGTTTTGGAGTATTCATGTGCGAAACTCAATTCGATACATTGAAGATCACGGGTGGCGGCTTTCTCTGGCTGATGTCAAGTACAACTTCACTAGCTGTCGTGAAGGTATGCAGCAGGAGGTTTGGCATCGCACTTTCAACTTGGTTGCGCCCCCTTGCGCCAATGCAATTGTTTGGCTAATCGCAATGGCGCAATTTCAGCTGAGCTACGCTACAGAGCTGTCATAAGCGATAGTCACAAGTGACACGCACCTACTGCTCACGAAAGGCACAATATCACTGCTCATTTCTTGGTCGCACAACCACAGGGCTCAAGGGACATGGCATGACCTGCGTTACAAATCTCCTCTCCCGTCACCACATCACTCGCGCCACCAGCCAAAGAAAGAGGTGGGAGTCTGATGGTTTTGATGTATATATATACGGCAAAGGTCAATCAGTATCAGCACGGCATGCCGCACCCATGGATTCAAATCATCGAGGGAAATCCACCATCAGCCGCCATCAGTCTGCCTCCATCCATCCAGCGTTCACAAAGGCCCTCCGTCGTCAGTGTAGTCGACGACGAGCC